TCTCCTCCTTCTTCCCTCAAGCACTAACACAATCATGATTTTTCCCCAAGATGAACAACGACATTGTATATTAAGGCCGAAGGAAACATTAAGAGAGACAAATTCTTTCCCCAGGATGATTAAGGCATTCAGTAAGATGTATCGAGACATTGTAAATATTAACTCTTTCTCGTAAGCTATTAATTTCCCTAACTTGCTAGAAAATGTCCCTAACTTGCTATAAATTTCCCTAACTTGCTAAAAATTCCCTAACATACTTGCTTTTAAAGGTCGATCTGAATATAAACACTCAATTTATGCATCAATTACCTCTAAAGCCTGTCGTAGTTATGTCAAAATATTTAATCACGTGGTCTCAGAAAGGCCGGTGATTGGTCATGACGTCATTATACAGGTGTGATGACCAGGTAGTGGGGGTGGGTAGTTCATTACTGTCAGGTGTTGTTTATTTACATTCATCACTGGTTACACTAATCGTCACTAGGGGGAAGCTTATCGTTATTTTTAAAGAAACGCGTAACATGACCAGTAACTTTCTCCGTAACGCGTCACAGTAACAAAGTGGTTTTATTAATGTGCACCTTGTTACCTGTGTAGTTAAGATGTACCACACCCACACACACACACACACACACACGAAATCTTAAAGCACTATTCTATTTTCTCCCCAGGACGAACAACGATATAATGAGACCTTACGAGAAAATAAACCCAATTCCTTCTACAGGATGATCAAAGACTAGATTTTTTCTTCTTAAATAGAAGTAATTAGTTTTTTCTTTCCTGTGAATTAAAAAGGAAGAAGCGTCAAAGGCGGATCATTGAAATTCCCAGGATAATCAAGGACAGAAAAGGATCTTCCCAGAGTTAGAAGATAATCGGTGTTTGTTTTCCTAGGATGATCAAAGGCAGCTACACTTGCCGAGGTATTTAATACATCTAAATAATGCATAAATAAATATGAATAACTAAATGTATAATAAATCAATGGGTTAAGTAAGGTTGTTAATTATATAAGTTAGTTTATAATGTTTAGGAGAAAAATGTTTAAGTTAAACCACTATTACCACTATTAGTCACTACTACTATTACCACCACTACTACCCATCATCACCACCATAATTACTACAACCACTACCATTACCCACCACCAACATCATCACTACTACCACCACCATTAACCAACACCACTACCCACCACAATTACCATTACCTACCACCACTACCAATAAACCCCACTACCACCAATACCACCTTCAACCAATAACCGCCACCACCACCCACCCCACCTAACCCACCCCCACCTCACCACCACACCTACACCCCACCTCACCACAAGACCAATTAAAGTGGACTCGACGAAACGTGTTTGGCCAAGAAAAATAACAAGGCGACAGAAACACCCAGCAGAAAAAAAAAATATCTTGGCTTCCCACAAAGTTTGCTGATATTATTCTCTCCTTCCTCCTTCTCCCTCCCTCCTCCACCCTCCCTCCTCCTCACCTTACCTCACCCTCCTTCCTTACCGCCCATCCCTCCTCTCCCTTCCCTCACTAGTAATGAGTGTAATAAACTTCTGTCGAGTTCCCCAGACCCACACACACACACACACACACACACACACACACACACACACACACACACACACACACACACACACACACACACTAGATCTTACACTTATAGTGATAAGTGATGAAGCAGCCACAGTACACAGCAAGGAGGCCACAGTAGACGGGCCACAACACACAGTAGACGGGCCACAACACACAGCAGGCAGGCCACAGCACACAGCACCCCTCCCCTCGCCAGGTAAAGGTGGTAGACCTAACACACAGGTGACCAGACTCTCCTCCACCACACAGTCAGGTCAACCTCGACACACCTCCTCCTCTGGTACAGGTCAGTCAGACCCATTAATATACACAGGTAAATCAGGTAATTGTTTATATCAGACCCACTAATATACACAGGTAAATCAATGTAAACAATTTTTTTTTAATTCTATGTTTTCAGTCCCATTCATTATCAGTCTAATTTCCTAACTTTTAACACAAATGCCCGTGAGAATTATCCACCCACCTAAAAGACAAGTATTTTCTTTCCTGGTTAGGTTAGGTTAGGTTAGGTTATGTTAGGTTAAGTTAGGTTAATATTAGGATGGTTACTCTTAAAGTTAAATAAGCTGGGTGGCTAAGCTTCAGGTGACCTGGATATTTCAACACCCTCGAAATGATTCCACCTGTAGAACGCTTGGAGCAAATGCTTTCAAACTTTGATGTTCTATTTCTGAGGATAAGCCGGGAAGCCCTGGTGTTTTTTGGTGGGGGAGAGGGCGGGAGAGAGGGGAGAGAGCGGGCAGGAGAGAGAGAGAGAGGGAAGGAGAGAAGGTGAAGGAAGAGGGTGCGGGAGGAGGAGAAGGAGAGAAAGGGGAGGGAGGAGGAGGGGTGAAGTTAGGAGAGAGGGAAGAGGGGAAAGAGGGGTGAGGAGAGAGAGAGAGAATGAAGGGAGAGAAAGAAGGAGAGGGTGAGGGAGGGAGAGAGGGGAGAATGGATATTGAAGTTTAAAGGTCAGGGTATGAGACAGATGAATGGACCAGAGGCCGCTAGTGTATAGAGGAGACCTGGAGGCTGGGGGAAGACCAACCGTTTTTAATTCGTTCTTCAGGAGTGACCGAGATTAAGGAGGAGGGAAAGGTTAGGTTAGGTTAGGTTAGGTTAGGTTAGGTTAGGTTAGGTTAGGTTAGGTCCCTCGTTCAGGTCCAGCCACTGAAAGAGATTAACGAACTGGCCACACTGACAACCTAATTAGCCACACAAGTAAAATTTACTTTTTGTTCGCTCAGTAAACTTTTGCGTCGAAACAAAGAATAACATAACCTAACTTATCCTAGATCTATGTGTGTGTGTGTGTGTGTGTGTGTGTGTGTGTGTGTGTGTGTGTGTGTTGGGTACAAGCTCAAGTAAATACAGTTTCAATACTAGCGATACATATATCTTCATATTTCCCTCATTTAGAGAGAATAACACCTGGAAATAACACACTGGGTTTATAACACGGTGTTCTATAAGCCTGAAAACCTGTTATGGTCGGCATGGATACAGCACACCGAGGGTTAAGTCTTCATACACAAAGGCTCTTTCTCACCACTTCTCACTTTCCCAACAGGTGTCCACTCCCCAGCTGGGCGGACTGAGGGCGACCTACGGCACTCAATAAAGCAATCGTTGGGAAAGGAATTAAATTGCCTGATCCACTCGACCGTCGCACCCAAAGTTCACGACAACAATACAAATATTTTCGAGATAACATTAAACTGTTCATGAGATCACCTGCAGATTAGGCACCTGAAGATTAGGTTAAGTTAGGTTTAAGGTGAATTAAGTTGGGGGGGGGGATGAATCTACAGGTGACTTAATTCCTATCCTGAAGGTATATACAACAATATATACCCACAAACACACATTTACCTGGTCAGAGGAGAGGGGAAGGGGGGTGGAGAGGAGGGGAAGGGGGGGTGAGGGGAGGGGAAGGAGGGGTGAGGGAGGGAAGGGGAATTAACTCTGCCGGGCCACTTGATTTACCACCTCAGGGTTGCTAAGTAGTAACAGTGAATTACCAGACCCCATCACAGCTACCTGACTCATGGGATTGTGGGTGGTGGTGATAGTGGTGAAGACGGTGGTGGTGAAAATGGTAGGAGTAGTGGTGGAGACGGTGGTGGTGAAATGGTGGCATGTGTAGAGACGGTAGGTGAAAATGGTGGTGATAGTGGTTGAAGACGGTGGTGGTGAAAATGGTGGTGATAGTGGTGGTGAAAATGGTGGTGATAGTGGGTGGTGGTGGTTCCATTAAGTGTTACTACTAATATCCAACACCAGCACAAGGCGTCGGCCATCACCATTGTGTCGGGCAGGTCGGGGCAGGTCGTGGCAGGTCGAGCAGATCATCAATGTTTACTTCGTAGTCTTGATGCCATTGCTGGTGGTGCTTTCAGGATATTAATTAATTCACAGTTCAATAAACCATTGTCAATACCTGTGTGTGTGTGTGTGTGCATGTGCGTGTGTGTGTGTGTGTGTGTGTGTGTGTGTGTGTATGTGTGTGTGTGTGTGTGTGTGTGTGTGTGTATGTAGTGTGTGTGTGTGTGTTATCGTTGTCACAAAATGGGTAATATCTGACGTGACATTTTTCATTTATTTTTGAAACGTAGTTTTTTTTTTAAGAATTAAAATTAAAATTCAGGCTTGTTAACGGTCAAGGTATTTATTGGCAGAGATACATTTACATGTTTAATACGCACACAATGCACATGCACACACACACACACACACACACACACACACACACACACACACACACACACACACACACACACACCGCTATATGGGCCACAAAGCTGAGAAATTACTTAACACACAAGTAAATAAAATAGTGTTGAGAGTAAGGGAGTAATTGGGACGCTTATTACCCCTTAAGTTTAATGAAGTTCAAAATGATTCATCGTCTTAATATGATCTCTCGTTCTCAAAGGTTTTTTTATTTATTTCTTCGTCTCGCATTTTCAGGCATAAGACCTTACCTGAGAGACTACCTTTGGCTAAAAGACATTAAGTGCCCAAATTAAGAGAGAATTACTACCTACCGCAATTAAATACACTTCGTAAGCAGCGGTCAGGTGGCCAAAATAACATTTAAAATAGCATCAAAATTTAATTGAGACTCTACCTTTACCAGCCAGGTGTGTTCACTTCACACACCTGTTGAAACTCTTAATTAAGGTGAAGAGAAAGTTTCATTAAAGGTTTTCTACCACAGTTTTTCATCCGACTTAACTGATGTAAAAGTAAGCGAATATAACTTAAGATAGTTTTCCATTTTTTTGGTTTTCTTTTCTGAATCAGAGAGTTTGGTTCATTATTATAGCTCTCTCTTCCTACGAGGGAGAGTAATGAAGGTCTTGGAAGGCAAATTCATTAATCCGGGAGCACCCAACTCACCTTGCAATACGGTAAACAACCTCCCGTACTGAACTGACTCATTCTGCTTGCAACAAACACCTCAAATTTAATTGGCTGGTCCCCGAAGCCATTTACCGTTGGATTTTCATTTATAAATCTCGACGTTTCACTAAGCATCACTAGTGGCCAGTTAAAGAGCCAGTCACATGTTCAATGATATCACTTATTATTAATATTTTCTTCTTATCGTGAATAGAGATCGATAAGGGTGTATGTCTATTGGTCTTGGTGTCTAGTGCCGGGGAGTAACACCAGGTGGCGGTCACTTAACGAGACTGACCAAGTTGTGTTGATCAAGTGGACTACTGCCACCACTACCACCACCACTGCCACCCCACACGTGTTCTGCCTGCCTGCCCCTCCCCCCCCACCACCACTGCGTTATACTCCCCTCCTCCCACCACACCACGTAAACTTCCCACATCCCCCACCCCACCCACTACCTCCCACCACTTACCACATGACCTTCCACCCTCCTCCTCCTCCTTCCACCCACTACCTCCCATAATACCACATTGACCTTCCACCTCCTCCTCCTCCCTCCTTCCACTACCTCCACTACATACCACATGTTCCACCCTCCTCCTCCCTCCCCTTCCCACCCACTACCTCCACATACCACATGACCTTCCACCCTCCTCTCCCTCCTTCCCACCCACTACCTCCCACCATACCGTGACCTTCCACCCTCCTCCTCCTCCTCCTTCCCACCCCTACCTCCCCACCATACACCACGTGACCTTCCACCCTCCTCCTCCCTCCCTTCCACCACTACCTCCCACCATACCATGACCTTCCACCTCCTCCTCCTCCCCTTCCCACCCCTACCTCCACCATACCATCGACTATTCCTACATCCTCCCTCCTCCCCTTCCCACTACCTCCACCATACCAAGTGACCTTCCACCCTCCTCCTCCTCCTCCTTCACCCACTACCTCCACCATACCACGTGACCTTCCACCCTCCTCCTCCTCCTTCCACCCACTACCTCCACCACATACAGGCATGACCTTCCACCCTCCTCCTCCTCCTTCCACTACACCATACCACGTGACCTTCCACCTCCTCCTCCTCCTTCCACCCACTACCTCCACCATACCAAGTGACCCCCCCCCCCTCACTAACCCACCACCACCGGTAACCAAAGTAATTTACCGAGGGCTGAACACCTGTGTCCTGCCGTTTAAAACAGAGGTTGTTGTGTGTACCCGTTGCAGCTGTGGCTCGTGCTTTCATTTTTGTTCATATAATTTACAGTCTCACTTCACTTTCGTCGCCATTTTAACACACCAAAGATAATTAAAAAAAAACATTCTATAAAACCCGAAATTATTGCAAAACATTCTTTACTTACGAACTTTTCTCAATGTGGACCTAAGGGCGGTGATTTACTCTGGGAACGTCATCACAAAATTTATACCATTTAAGGTAGATAAATATTTATGTCATAGCTAATATTACATTGGCTGAGTCATCGTTAATAATCGAGGGGGGAACTGGGGGAAGGTATCATAGAAAATGGTTAAGTTATTGTAGAAAATCGGGGGAGGTTATCACAGAAAATTAAAACTTTTAAGAAATAAACAACATGGAAGCTGCCTTGACAACCTCATTAATTCCTAAACTTGTGCTAAAAGATAATGGTAAAGAATTATAAGAAATCTCTCTCTCTCTCTCTCTCTCTCTCTCTCTCTCTCTCTCTCTCTCTCTCTCTCTCGGCGGTAAAACACTGGACGTTTAAGTCATCAGTGACCTTAAGTTCGGTCAATTGATAGCTAAACCAGTAAACACTTTTATCCGCATCTAAATATAACGCTGGGCGTAAATCGGAAAAAGAAGGAGATAAAATGAGAGACGCATTTAGCATTTAAGAGACACACACACACACACACACACACACACACACACACACACACACACACACACACTATAAAACACTCAAACAAACTTAAAGAGAAATACAGATACTTGGATAGATAGACAGACAGACAGATAGACAGATATAGAAAAAAAACACTGTACTAAACTTCCTCTCAGAACGACAGACTCTCACCACCTGTCAGTTCCCGTCAGTTAGTCTCACACAGTCTCGACCTTTCCTCATAAAGTTCTGATATCTCGCGTTCTGCTGGAAAATTCGAGTCAGTGGCAAATTATTCAAACTTTTGGATCTTTATATAAGTTTCCAGGAAAGTTTAAATGGGTGAAAATTTACTTAAAATTTTCGCAGAAGATATAAAAAATAAAAAACATATCAGGGAGAAGGGACCGTCATTCAGACACGCACACACCTGGTTTTCTGACACCACACACCTGTTCAACTTCAGAGAGAGAGAGAGAGAGAGAGAGAGAGAGAGAGTATGAAATGTGGGAACAACTTAAGAGTGAAAAGTATTTGAGAAGATAATCACATAATGAGTCACTCAGGTGTACAGGACATGAATTATAGACCAGCCCTTACCGTCATGGTAGTTAAGGGTGGTTAGGTTAGGTTAAGTAAGTTAAATTATATCTCTTGGTACTGGCGAATCTCGGTCAAACATTATCATGGACGCTTCAATAAAGTCTTAATAGCTCACAGGGTCAATACAGTTAACAGCTTAATAATATCAGGAGCTCTATATAGTCAACAGGTCCTCTATACTACCAAAGAGCTCTATAGTACTCACTCTTATATTATAACAACAACAACAACAACAACAACAATAATAATAATAATAATAATAATAATAATAATAATAATAATAATAATAATAATAATAACACCAACGATAATAGTAACAATAATAACAAAAACAATAAAACAACACTACGAATAACAATAACAAAAATAATAACAATGACAAAACAACAACAATGATAATAGTAATAATAATAGCAATAACAACAAAAAATAACTCTAATAATAACAGCAACAATAAGCCTTCAAAATACTGTACCTCTAGTCAGTTCACCTTTCAAAAGCCTAAGGCAAAGAGGGTGAGAGAGTTCCGGGTTGACCAATAGTGTCGCTTTAATGTTCCGTGTGAAAGTGAGTTTTGCTGGTTACTGGAGAATCTGTAATAAATCAGGAAATTGAAGAATTTTTCAGTCTCATATATCGAGTAATTTTTTTTTTAGGGAGGTTCAGGGGTGACTGTGGTACGCCTTAGCCGTGGGGAAGGTGGGTGGGGAGAAGGTGGAGTGAGGAAGAGGTGGTGAGGGAGGAAAGGTGAGAGGAGAAAGAGAAAAGAATGGGTGGAATGATGTAATGAAGGTGGTGGGATAAGGGAGAGGGAGAGAGGGGGAGTAAAGGTGGGTGAAGAGAATGAAGGAAGGAAGAGGGTGGGACAAAGGATAGGAAGGTGGAAGGAGAGAAAGCGAGAAACAGAGAGAGAGAGGCAACAATATGAAGAATTATGGATAAAAGAGGATAACATGAAACAAAGAAAAAAGAAATAAACGATAACAAGACAAAAGAATCAATACTCACAAAATTCCTATTCAAACACAAATATTAATTAAATATCAAATACTAATATAAAACTAATTTACTTCCAATCGTCAACTAAATACACGAAATATTTTAATTTACGTATAAAAAACATTAATAGTTCAACCGTGACAAGTGTTTACCCAATGTCGAGGAGAGAAGTGAAAATTGACATAGTTATCCCAAAAACGATACACAGAAAATGGTCTCAAGTGGCTATGAGAGAAAATGGGAAAATTTGGGTCCATTTTCTATGAGAGCTCTCCGCCTTCACCGCCTCCCTCAGTTGAGTCCTTCACCCCCAACACTGGCGTACGTAACCTTGACCTAGTATCTCAAAGTCGTCCGTACCAGGATGGTGATGACATAATAAGAGCTCCGTCAAGGTCTAAAAGGCGCGGAAATATCCAATTAGTGAGGATATTTACCTACGACCGTCAGATATTAATTATATATATTGAAGCTACAGTACATTGGGACACACACACACACACACACACACACACACACACACACACACACTACCTCAACACACACACACACACACACACACACACACACACACACACTACCTCAACACACTTAAATGCAGTATCGTGATAGCGGTTCAGTTAAGTTTGATTAAATTTGGTTAAGGTTGGAGCACCAGAAGCGGTACACATGATGGACCAGCAGCGGTACACATGATGGACCGGAGGACATAAAGTAACTGTCCCGAGTAACAAAGTATTAAATAACCCCAACTTCTAAACACTTTACTTGCAGCAAAAATATTCCCCAAATAAGTATTATAAATGATATACTTATATGTCTATTATACTTCAAGATAAAAACACCCAATACACTTAACTCCCAACACACGTACACAACACACTCAAGGGTCTTATAGGGTACACTTAATAATACTCTCAACACTGAAACACTGACATTGTTAATACACAACGCTGGTTACTTCCTGGAGACATGAGGCGGAAGCACACACCTGGGCAGTACGGAGGTGGCACAGGTAATTACCACAGGTGTTGGTATATGTCTGGTGTTAACCCTTAACTTACTGTGGCCCAATGATGGTCTGTTTGTACCTCCTACTGTGGCCCTGACATGGACCATTAATACCTCCTACTGTGGCCCTGACATGGACCATTAATACCTCCTATACTGTGGCCCTGACATGGACCATTAATACCTCCTACTGTGGCCCTGACGTGGACCATTAATACTTCCTACTGTGGCCCTGACATGGACCATTAATACCTCCTACTGTGACCCTGACATGGTTAGTGTTGAGCAGCTACCAAGGTTCACCCCCTACAGTAGCTCTGCAGTGAGGGAGGTGAGGGAGGTACTCACCGAGGGGTGGGCACCATGCTCCGCCTTAACATTGCCCAGGTTTTTGTTGACGGGGACGAGAGGTCGGCCAGCAGAGTCCTTGGCGTCTGTGTCGTCTTTGGCTGCCGCTGAACCTGCGCCGCCCACGCCGCCCGCCGCTGCGCTGCTGCCTGCTGTCGCCCCTCCGCTGGTGCTGGAGGCTGCACCGCCCACCACCGATCCTTTCGTCAGCGCCGTCGTCGAGTTCCTGCAGGAGGCGAGAAACACAACAGTGAGTGACGAAGAAAAAACATTCAAGAGGCAAGGAATGAAAAATTATCTTCTGATAAAGAGTTGTTGCAAACTTGTGTGATGGGGGGTAGAAGGGAGGAGGAGTGTGAGGGAAAATGTAGGGAGAGGTATGGAAAAAAAAGTAGGAGATTGAAGAAATGTGAGAGGAAGGAAGGGGTTGGAGAAAGGACACACACACACACACACACACACACACACACACACACACACACACACACACACACACACACACACA